TCTCATGCAAAAGTCTCATTCCTTAATGGCTTTGCCTGTACTTTTTGTTCTTTTTGGTTATATCAGCTATTTAATTTTGGAATGTGTTTTGGAATATTTTTGCATCGGGCATCACTTCAGACATTTATTGTCGAAATGCACATCTGTTGCAGAATAATTGGTACCGTTAATGTTATTACTACCACTGGGTCGATACCTCTGTTGGTGGACTGTTAGTATCCGAGTGTATTACTAGCCGAGTAGCCATTCATTCGGCGTTGGCATGCTTCGGTACGGGCATTAAAATAACGGATTGAAATGTTGGCGATTCTTTAAACTAAGAAACATGTCTCTCTCGTGTAAAGCTCTTAATCAATACACAGCTTTAGCTTTTATCAACATTTCAATTTTGAATAAGTTTTAGATTTTCCATTATTTTTTTAATCGATCATCACTTTAGAGACATTTACTGTAGAACAGCACATCTGTTGCAGTAACATTGGAACCGTTAATATTATTTTCCTGATTTTTCTCTTTTATATACATTTTCAGACACTTTGATAAAATGAATGAATATAAAAGTAAGAAGATGTAGTATAAATGCTAATGAAAACAACTCTCTACCAGAGACCAAATGACATACACTTTAACAACTGTAGGTCACCGTACGGCCTTCAACAATAAGTAAAACCCACACCGGTAGCGAAAAGAGGGTGTCTGGCGTTGATCATACAACATTCCTACCGTCGCTATAGGCTAGTACTTATTAAAAGTTTTCATTTTCAAGTAGCAGTAACACAACGACATAATCAACTATTTTTTTACAGTTAGTTCTAATACTGAGCTGTTACACTACTGTCCAAGGATGGGGACTACGCCGCTGCTCCATACCGAATGATTTTATTATATTTAATAATCATTTGACACATTGTAAAATTGTACTGTATTTCGTATTTTTTTACCATTTTTGAATTGGTACTAGAATAAAAGTCAGCACTTGATTATTTATCTCTTCTTAACCCAATAGACTACTTTCGAGTTCGTTGCATTTCCGTCAAAAAACTTTGGTTTTATTGAACATCATTCGTGCGTTTTGGGGCGTCGTCACTTCCGTTCCTATATTGAGCGATTGGTTGAAAAAATGATAATGCTATATTGCAAGAATTATTCGACAAATTAAATTCTTATAATTGATATTCAGCACTGATACCATTAGGGAATTGTGATTAAGTAGTTACGGAATAAATATTATTTCTAGTTTATCCTGCATAATGACGACCACAAAGATGCTTGATGAACGTTAATAGAGCAGGGATACAGGCGATCCCCTCTATCTGGTAAATGACGTCACAAAGGCGCAAAAAAAAATTGATGAACTTTTCCGGTGAAGGACATAACTCGAAAGTGGTCTATCACCTGGCTGAAACTGATAGGTCGAGCCAGCACATCAATGGTCGTAGTTGTTTCGTGTCACATTTGTTATATTAATTGGTTTGCTATAAATGAGGTCGTTAGTTATCTCGTTAATTTGTTTAACATTTTTTGTTATGTCGGGCTCTTTTAATAATGACTATACGGTATGGATTTTTCTTATGGTTTTAGGTCATACGGTAATCTATAATTGCTTACATCAACTTCATTTTATTTCTGGTGGATACCTATAGTTGTCTTATTGGCAATAATACCAGGAAAATGTAATCTGAATAAAATAATGTCAGTTATTAGTAATCTGATGTAACGGTTTTCAAAACATAAACGAATATATCATTATTTTCTTAACGTAAATGACATAAAAACAAGAACATGCTTTCGAGGAGAAGGATCGTTGCAATCAAAATAAAAAATCAAAAAGGGACAAACAACACTATTGGCTAAAGGAAATATGTAGAAAAGTCAAAACTGTCAACAATATTCGACACAGAAATGAAGGATTAAGCAACATGAACCTTACTAAAATCCGAGGATGAACTCAGAAACCATACGAACCCAATGCGCTATGGGCTTTGCTTTGTTAATTTCTGAGACAGTTGGTCTCTTGTGGAGAGTTGTCTCATTGGAAATCATACCACATCTTCTTTTTTATATAAATTAACAAAAATTTTAATTGCGCTACATTTATCTCAGATCATTCCTTGTAAAGACTTCGCCTACTCCTTACTTCAAACGATATTCAAAATAACAATGTGCCTACGATTCCTGCCTATTGCATTACATTTTTTCACTAAAATTTGGGCCACTTGAAATTGATAAAATCATTATGTACTAAAGTGACTTATGAATTTCACACGAAAAACGTGAAGTCGTTAAAGGACAATAACCTTTCAAGTCACGTTCGCAATTATATTTTTATGAATGAAAAGTGGAACTAGTGAAAGCGCTAAAACAAACAAAATTCATTTTTTTTAATATATTATTCCTTTACGCATATTCGAATGCATGCGTTGATAGACTTTCTAATTCCCGAACTTTCTTTTGTTGGTGCATATTTTTTGTATGACGCCAAGTTTAACAGATATATTTTTTGCAACGTCAAAAAATAAATCATAAGTGTAGAAACATTTTTTGAATATACAAACTAGAGATTTGTTTTGTTTTGTTTTTTTAATTTGGTCTGCAAATTAACATGTCATTCAGTAATAATAACCTCTTAATCAGTTTCGTTTAAATGCATAACTAAATGACATTTTTTTAACATTAAGGATGTTCGCTACTCTGTTTCAAAATAACAAGCTTTTTAAAAGACTATTATAAATTGATAGTATATAAATAAAGGAACTGAAAAAGCAGAAAAAAATGTAGGGTCCGTGTGCTTGTTTTAGAGATATAAGCCATTGAAAATTTGGCGGGAAATAATTCTCTCTAGACTTTTCTTACATTTAACATTGGCACCCTTTTTCTTTCAAAAATTATGAAAAAATAACAAGGATTTTATAGGATTTTCAAATATGGCTTTTTAAACTATAAGTAATAAAATTATTAAAAGAAAAGTAGGGGTTAGCGGGGAAATTTTTTTAATGACACTACATGGATAAAACCAGAGGATTCCGAATATGTGGCAAAAATTCAAAAACAAGAGGAGCGAACATCCTTAAGAATACGTGGTATGATTGCCAATGAGACAACTAGCAAACAGAGACCAAATGACGTAAATGTAAAACATACTATATTCCTTCCCGTGCGCAAACCCAAAAAGTATAGTGTATTATTAATTAACTACATTTGATATGAACTGCATGTACAATACAAAAGTTTCAATTCGACCAAAACAGAAAAGGGCAGCCAATATTAATGTTTTGTTTTGTATTGGCCAAGTTCTGATCCAGCTAATTCTAGCTTTTGGAATGTCTCTGGTTTTTAGATCAAAATGCTATGATGAACAATGTCTTGGTGTAAAATGTCGCCTGGAAGACGTTGTTTGATCTATTCACCAAAATCATGCCTAAATATGCAGTGTGGCAAAGATTCAAAGCAAAAGATGGTCGTATTCATTTAATCATGTTTAATAGAGCCTTTTGTAAGCAGACTTGATTTTTTCAGATTTGGTCAACGAGTCTGTAGTTCATTTTCATGTTGACCTCATTAATTATTTCAATCCTTTTAATTAGGGATGCCAACTCGATGAAGATTTACTAATCGAGTACTCGTTAGATTTACCGAGTGGTACTCGAGTACTCGCTCGGAAAACATCTACAAAATGGAAACAAAAAATCATACCCATTTTACGTATTGTTGGTCGTTGTCTTATGGACGTAAAACCCTCAACATTATTACCTAGGACTAGATAATAGTTCCAGGAATTTCATACCATAATTAATAGCTCATTTACTACATGCAATAATTATGTGAACTGGCAATACAATAATCAATTAATTAATAAACATCTATAGAAAAATGTTTACTAAAAGAACAGTATTTGTGAATCGTAAAAAAACACATTCAATGATCAACAAAGGGGTGATGATTAGAACTTACTGATGACTTTAACCATTCTCTGAGAGTATATATATATCTTTATTCTCACAAACCAAATTACAAAGTCGACATAGAGTGCAACGGATGTGTTCTTATTTAAAAATATTATGTTTTCAACTTTTTTTGGGACGAGTCAATTTCTCTACTTTGATACGTAACTAACAGTCCTCCTGATGAAAATATTTGCTATGGCGGTAGAGTTGGTGGAATGACACGATAAGCAAAAAGTGTAAACCTTTGAAAGGTGACTTGTTCAAAGCCGACATCTGTTCGATAAAATTTTAAATGACAATCAAACGCAAACATTCGAAGCATATTTTAATTTTGATTAATTCAAACCGGACCAGGCATAACAATTGTGTAAGGAAACACGGCGGCCTGTTATTGTTCACATCTTTGTTAGGATGTATCATTGGCATCTCCTAATTTTTATTACTTTTTTGGTTTCTGCAACTCTGGAAAAAACGGAATAGTGACTAAAAAAAAGTGAAAAATCTTCAGTCTTACGTTATTATTTCGCAGGAGTGTACACCGGACGACATATAAGACACCAACTGATTGTTCGTTACTGGTCGTTTTAACTTAACTGGATGTTTTTGTATTCTTACTTGGTGTCTTTCTATGAGTAAGAGTATCGGTTTACTCTCTGATTTACGTTTAAGTGTTAAACGTCGAGTACCACATTTGTAAACATATCAGGTCGAAAATATAATAATGTAATATGAATAGGAACTCTGCTTTGTACTAGAAAAAACACGCTGAACCGGATTCCAACGCGCTATTTCACAGTGTAAATAACAGTCCACAAGAAGACATATCAAGCTACTTGGACATAATTACAGACAACAAGAATTTTCTCTTACATCTCATTGTCGTGTATCATGTGCATGAAGGAGCAACAAATCGAGCACACTACCACGAAACAGCCTTCCCGGTTACATAATTTAAAGATGTGATCACATATTAACAAGCACATCTGATGTATGTTATTTTTGTTTGCCAAGTGTTTTCCGTGATATATGTTATATATGTACATAAGAAGCAATATGAAACGTTTGAACATTTAATTTTGTATCAAAAATTGACTTTATTTTACTTATAATACATTTGGATTGATGAGTCGAGAGCTTCAAGAATATTCTAGGTTTTCATTATTTACAGAATAACAATAAAAATCAAAAGTATTCTTTAAATGTTAATTTTGCGAAATTATAATTAGGTAATTTCTGCAACAACAACTTTCCCGGACGAATTTGAAGTAACCAGGAATTTATTACTGTTTTGTTTGAACCTTATAACCCATGGATCCACCGTTCCTAGGTCTTTGCAGGCGATTATTCTGATTAGTTCCCCTGATGGTGAGATTTGATGTATATTGTTTGTATCTTTTGAACAAACGTAAATGTTTCCATGGAAATCTGCATCAATTCCTCTTGGATGAGACAACTTTTGGCTTTTGTAAGTAAATATAATTGAACAATCTTCCAAGCAAGATACGCTGGTCAATCCATCGGCATAAACATAACTGTTGCTTTTATATGAGCAAATAAATAAAGATGCAAGACCAAGTGTTTCTGATGCTTTTATTTTCTCACCGTTTGTTGCATTTAACCAAACAATACTGTTATGATATGCAGCTACGAACTGGTCATCAACATTAAAGTAACGCAAGCCATAAAGTCCGAATTTCAATTTAATTTTTCGTCCAATGGTCATTGTTTGCATATTTATCAAAATTATTTCTCTTGAACCTGGAGCTGATACTGCTATCTCATCTCCTCGAAAATTTTCGATATCATAACATCCATTGTCTAACTGAACATAGCTTTGAAATATACCACTATGACTAAATTTGAGTACTTTTTTTGTTTTATTATTTGATACGAAAATATATTCTTTGGTAAATATTCCACTCACTGAATAATTTGTGCTTTCTTCAGCGTCTAAAATGAATAATGTTTTGACATTCCCGGTACGAAAATTTACTTCTGTCACATTTTTAACTGAATCGATTGGAGAAGCGTGTCGTGACTCCGACTTGGTACTTAGTTTTGGATTTACTATGCTAGTCTCACCTAGATATTTGAGGTTTTCCTGAAAATTTTCTACGACAAGGTCTCGGTCTAAATTAATTGAACTCCCATAAAAGTCTTGAATTGTATCAGTGCTAATTTCACCAAGAGATGTTACGTTTTCGGGAAACTTTTCTAAAATACGGTTCCTTTTGAAACTAAGTGAACTTTCATCAATATTTGATGTAGCATTATTCATTTTCGTTTCAAGTTTTTCTTTTATAGGAATCAACTTGTTGAACTCAATCAAACACTGAACGTCTGTCCCGTCATTGATACATGTTCTTAAAATCTTGTGCCAGTTATTAACGGTAGACTTTTAGCTCGATATTTCAGTTATTCTGTCTGTAAGGTCTGTTACTATGCCCTTCTTTTTTATAGCCAACTCTTCTTTTGCGACTTTTTCAAGCTCATTGACGCGTTCGATTATATCTTTCTTCAAGTTTTCAATTTCTGAATAAATATTGTTACCCAAAATGTCAACGCTACACACATGTTTTTGTACGTCTTGCATTGTTTTATCAAGCAATGTTTTCCAGCGCACCATCAGCTCCACAAATGCAGTCGTCTGCTTTGATTCTTTAATACCAGCTGCCGCTTCTATTATAACCACCTTTTCGCATTTACGATGTTTGACAGTTGCGCATACAGTGCAGCAAGGTTTACCATGATCAACACAAAAAATCTCGACAAATTTATCCAAATGGTCTTCACATGTTATAATTCCAGAAACAGATGCAGTCATGTCTTTTTGTAACTCTTGCAACGTAAGAATTTTATGGCGGGAAGACATTTTAAACTTACGGTGGCAGTTTTCACAAGAAAAACAAAGTGCTTCCTGACAGACAGTACACCATGACACAGCCTTCTGCTTTACATTGCTCAGTTCACATGCGTTGCATAATTTTTCTAACTTCTGTATTGCTTGTCGATCAAACATCGATATAATCAAATGATTGTTCGGAAGCGCCTCTGCCCAAATTTCTGGATTACTCGAATGTTCCCCAATAGTCACAGATGTTCGACAAACTGGACATGTAAATCCCTTATTGTTGCTCTCCTTAGAAACGAATGACTGGATATATGTATGAATACATAACTTACAAAACGTATGAAGACATGGTAAATATTTTGGATCTTTAAAAGTTTCTAGGCAAATACTGCAAGTCAATATGTCTTCTTCTTCTTTGACATTAAATGATTTAGTCGCCATTTTGCCACATTTGAACTTCCTAGTGAATGATATATCTATTTTTATTTTATATTTATATACTAGTATCCATTTATTGAACTTTAAACGTGGCAAATCATGTGTTTAGTTTAATCGTTTTATTCGGACGGTCCAAGTGGTCTTTTCGTATCCAGATATTTTTAGTATTTTTTCTTTCGAAAACTCACAATAAATCAATGAAAATAACGGGTAAAGTAAGACAAAACAGTGATTATAAAGGTTTCTTATTAGAAAAGAACAAATTTAAGAGGGTTTCTTTATTTGGGTAGAAATGTGGTATCCGATGCCATATGACGATGAAACACGGACGCTAAGATACAGAATTTGGAGGTTTTTGTTCTAGATGTTATGTATCATACTTAATACTACTATAATTGTCTTACCTTGTTTAAAGTTTTGTGCGATGAACATCAACTTAATGAGAACGATAAAAACAAGCTGCTTTCTTTAAAAAAAGAAAAGCAATACGTGAACCTAAGTACGCTGACTGCCGGGTCACCAAAAGATTGTTGCTGAATTTGTGTTTGCTTTTGAAAGTGTACATTTACATCTACTATTTGAATATACATTTTAAAGCTAGACTATTTTATTTAGTACTTGGGAATGTACATAATTTTCCCGATGATAACCCTTTTGCAAATCCCAATTTCTAGAAACCGGATGACTTATGCAAATTGCACAAACCAATCGCAATATAAATTTATGCACTTAGTATGCTTTATAATCTGGAATTCTGCATGCATTTATTTTATCTATCATATCTTTATATTTTGCTTCCTACATGGACCTTCATGTTCTCAACTTTTTATTGAAGCTGTCTGTACTCATGATAGATGTTAGTTGTATAGATAAATCTAAAGTCCAATTTCCATATGCAATGAAACCTGTTGCATGCAACTGATTGGGACATCTTATAAAGAGACTTTTTTTGGTCTAATAAAACATCTCAAATTTTAAGGATTTCCTAATTTTACTTAAATCAAATTCAAATATTCTACAGGGAAACTTGATTTTGCCGAAGAATATCTTAATTCAGAATTTTATGAATACATGTACATACCCTCAAAATAACCAATTTATATAAAAAGGTATGTAGATATAAAAAAAATACCAGAATTAAAATGATGTTCGCCAGACGCCAGTCTACAAAAAAGCATCAGTGACACTCGAATGAAAAAAGTTAAAAGGCCAAATTTTATTATAGGACAGTGACTCAAAAAAGAAAAAAAAGAGAAACAGCTATAGGTCAAAATACCGTAAGTAATGATGACCGTGAATGAAAGTCACATGTCAATCTCTTACAGCCGTGTCCTAAATTTAGATAAGAAAAACGAAAATGCGCATTCAAGAGTGAAATTAGTATGATTGGAATTTTTGAGAACGCAAACCGATAGTGTGCGTTTGAAATGTGATCTATAATGTGAATGAATCCAGACGTATAGGATAGTTGGGCAACACAGTGAATATAATTTTCAAAACCGTACCATAGTACAGATATGTAGATGTTATAAGGCTAAACTATTAAAACAAACAAACAAAAATAGAATTGAAATTTTATAATAAACATACGTTCCTGTTAGTTATTTTGTCCGAAAAATTTTAATATATATACATGTAGTATCAATAAACACAAACGTCAAGTATTTACGGACGGACATTTTATTTATCAAATGAATCTATTTTTAAATCCTACCATTCCACTATATGAATAGATTACTATACAAAATATAAGCAAAGATTTATAAACCCATACTAAAACAGTACAAAAAAATTAACATTATGATAGTACTTAATTAGATTTTGTTATGATTATTGTAAATTATTATTACGTTTTTTTGTGAGCTGCAAGGATTTAAAATCTTTGTGAATTAAAAACACACAAGTATTTTTATTCACGACCGTTTAAACTTTAAATATTTAATTAATTTATCTTACTTTCCGTTTTATGGATATATTACGATACAAAAAAATAAATAACAATTACTTATAAAACCTTACTAAAACGGTAGGAAATAATTAATGTAGAAATATAATTATTATGGATTATCAACATTTATTTTTGTATGATGCAAGGATTTATTCAGATTTAATTATTATGCAAATACCAAAGCAGAGTATCTTGTCATATAAATACTTATTTCTTAATTGCAACTCTGAAAATATTCTGACTTCAATTTAATATTTAGTTTCTACAGAAACATAAATACAGTATATTTTTGGTATATATTTCTTTGATTTCTATTGAATTAATTAAATTGAATACTTTTGATAATAATATTATCTTTCTGTTTTCCGATCTAATATACATATTTAAACCAGAATGTTCTCTCCTTAGTATATGATGAAAAAACACACGTGGTTAAATCTTCAGACATAATTAGTTTACATGTTATCATGACAATGCACAATACCACGTTATAATTGACCTAGATACACACAGTGTACAGGGGTCTTTTAAAACAAATATAATTGCGTTGTCATAATACTTGTTTAGAAACTTTCACATCAAAGCGCTTATAAACATTCACATTATTAAAAACACATATGTTTTGTGAAAAGGCAAAAAGGTTCTTGTATTTAAACGATTTATTGACTGCAACCTAGCCTTATTGTTTACTTTCCAATTTACTTTGATGGTGTAATGTCATGTGGTAGCCCTAGCCATAGAGGGACCGTATCAAAGACGTAGATAACTACCTGTATAAATGATCGAAAACTTTCGAGACGTTCCGAGAATTTTATTCCGACTTCCGGCCGAGATATATCGAGTGGCCCATAGAAACATCCAAAACTCGCCAATATATAAGCGTGAACCCCTCAGGGGATTCACGCAAAAATTACTCTACTGGATTTTAACGGTGCCGAAAAAAGCGATTAGACGAATGGCGAATAGACGATTTTGTTTATTTTACGATTCATGATAAAGTCAATTTCTAGCCTTTTTGATAGGACTAAACATTATGTAATGTTTTCATTTTCCCGTATCAGAAAAACAATAACATTAATTAAAATTGAATATTAAGGATGTTCGCTGCTTTGTTTAAAAAAAAGCTTTTTAAAAGTCTGTTGTAAATTGATAGTATATAAATACTAGTAACGGAAATAAAGAGAATAGAAGAAATGAAAAGCCTGTTAGCCTGCTGAAAACTTTGGCGGGAAATGATTATCTCTTATACTTTTCATACATTTAAATTTGACACCTTTTTTCTACGAAAAACTTTACAGCAATATGTTAATTTAATGTAACAAAGTGAAAGATATGTGACAAAATTGTGGGTAACATAAAACAATATTTTCCAAAATTATCGAGTCAGAATAACAGAAACATACATATAGCTACTGGAGGAGGTTCGTAGTAACCAAAAATATAAAGAAATAACCCTCAAAACCAAACAATCTTGAGTTTTGAGAAACAAGAACCCTACAAATTAAATTTCGGTTATAATTTCAGGGAAAAATCGATATCAGCGATGAATAATGTTTAAAACTTGAACATGGGGAAGATTGCAACTTTCACATAAAAGTGCACTGTTCCAAAACCTTAAGAACCTAAGACATAAGTTTTAAATTAAAACCGATATATTTGTGTGTGATGCTATACGAATGATTAATTTAACATGATAATCATTTTCAACGAAAGGTGCTTTGTCATTCCAAGGACAATGATCTCTCTAGTCACGTCCGCAAATATTTTTTTTTAAACTAATACAATCATTTGTTTTTAATTAGAAAAGCTTTCATCACTATATCTATTATAAATTATTGTGAGTTAATGTCCTGGTCTTGTTTAAATTAAGTTCAAAACATATTCCATTAGAATAGCCGTTCGTCTTTACTATGATTTGATAAAACAGGTTTCCAGTCTAAAATTAAGTTCTGCACAAACGTGTAGGCATTGTGGATATAACAAAAAGTGCTTTCAGAACTTACAGACCATTCCTTTAACAGAAAACAACGTTTAACGGATAATGTCTAAAATTGCCGTTTTTTTTTTTATTCTTTAACAAGTTAAAACGACTTGATATATCTATGCATGTGAAATAAGATGTATTTGCTACTGGCTAAGCAAGCAAAGATCAATTCCATAAAAAAATATCAAATCAAGCACAATTGTAAATTTCAAGTCTTATAACAAATAATTTATGATACGTTGTTTGTAAGATTTATGAACTACATTACTAAACGTTCGAACTAATAGGGCTAAATGTAATAAATGTAGCATTGTACCTTAAAGTTTTTTCATACAGTAGTCTGTTCATCTGTTCTTCCATAACCCCGCTAATAACAGTCAGTTAAGAGAAATTAGCTCGTATACTGTTTGAAAATTTGTTTTTCTTTATTTCTTTTCAGTGTTAATGGAGTGTATGAAAATTACCGATGTTCCAGACTCGAAATGTTTTTGGAATGTAAACAAAGCATAACTACATCATTACTGTTAAGGATCTGGCCTACACATTTTCTGTCTGCATACCGTTTTTATTTCTATTTTTTCACATAAGCTTGGACCAATTAAAATCGACAAAATCAATGTGTATGCTGTTAAAGTGACGTATGATTAACTTACAATTTATAATCAATTTCACACGGAAAACGTGAAGTCAGTCAAGGTCAATGACCTTTCAAGTCACGTTCGCAATTAATTTTGTATGAATGAAAAGTGAAATTAATGAAAGCGCTTAAAAGTCAATATTTAATATATTATTCAAATGTATTCATTGATTGACTTTCCCATTTCCAATATAGATATTTCTAGTTAGCAAACATATTTTTTAGAACATGGAAAAGTGCATAAGTGTATCAGTATTATGTGATAATACAACTTAGAGCTGCACTTTCGGTCTGCCATTAGAAATGTTTTACTGTTTCGTTTACAGAAAAAAAGACAAAATACACAAAGTCCGTCTGAAAATACCATTGAGAATTTCTTCATTGTCTAATGACTGATGAACACATTGTACTTTTCGATATAATTTTCTTGAATTCTGATCTCACTTACCCTATTCTTTT